TTCCTTCCAAATCATGGATTTGGTTCATGTTAATCATTATGTTTAAGGGGTTTGCATTTGTTATTTAACATGACACAACAAACTTTCTTACACACAATATTTTGTGGGGCCTGCACTTTTTTAAGCAAAAAGAAAAAAAGAAAATTACAGCACGCAAAACGAATCTCTATAACATTACACAATCATTTTTTCTACAACATAACTCTTATAAAACCCTATGTTTAAATATGAAAAAAAATTTAAATGACACATTTTTTTTCTTTAAATATTTGATTTATACAGGCCAATCAATTATTGTCTCTGATATCATTATTGGAAAATTTTCTTCTATAAATCGGATGTACTCATTTGGGTACATTTTTTTTCTGTAAAAAGTAAATTTCCTTCCCATTTAAACTTTTATTTTCATTTTTATTCTATCTCTATCCTAATTTTTTTGCCATTTTTGGACCGATGCACCATGCGGTAGTACCAAAGGATTGCTCCATTATTTGGATAAGAAGGAAGAGCCGCTAAAATGACTACTGAATGGGTTAAATAGTAATCTATTGTAATTAAATGGGTTCGACATTCTTTTTTAATCTAAAATCTTAAGTTATTAGATTTATAAATTTTTCTAATTATAAAATTTTCACTTAGTTCATTTTTAATTAATATAGACTTTATTACTTACACTTAAATTCTCAACAAATAATTTTTTCCAAACTAATTAACCAATTTTTTTTTGTCTTGGAATAAAATGAGAAAGATAAAACAACAACGATAATAAAAATATGGAGAGAATAACTTTTAGAGCTCTCCTTTTTTTTTTGGAGATACAGGGAAAACACAAAAATAACTAGCTAATAGCTATGTTTCTAGGCCAAGAGATGGCCTAAAAATCATTTTTCAGCTTCTGCAAACAATCAGGAGGAGGATTGCTGAAGATGAGAGTATCCCAACTATGGAGATGAGCTTAGGTATTAAACCAGTCAGCCACACTATTTCTTTCTCTATATGTGTGAGTGATTTTAACTTCCCAATTCCTATGAAAGAGGGAATGAATTTGCAGCACCAGATTGGAGAACAATAAAAATAGAGATAGTCATATACAGTTTATCTCTCTTGTTTTTTTTAAAGATATTTTAGGAATACCTATTCTATGAGTTTTTGTTACAAATAACTGTGTAACATATTTTTTTTTTTCTTTAATCATTTCAGTTACATAAAATGCATGTCCTTTCTGTTACTCTCTCTCTCACTGGTGTGTGCCACTTTCTATAGAATATAAATTGGAAAATTCTTAAAGAGAAGATCAATACACCAAGTCTCAAAATCTCTTACATTTTTTTATTTTTTAATTAATTAAGGAGGAAAAAAATACCACAAACCTTATCTTTATTGTAGATATAGTATGAGTTTTGCATCTCTGCATTGCTGTAAAATTTTATTGGATGCAACAAATATAGCCAAGTGAATTTCACTTGTTTTTTTTAAATAATAAAACACACCCGGATACGAAATCATATCCTAATGTTACTGCAAATTTTTTTTTTGCAATAACAGGAGAGCTATAAAAGCATAATATATACCCAAACTTCCGTTCACACTTAAAGAAATTGTATATTGACCTTCAGTAGGAACCTTATAAAAACTAACCTGTGAGTTTTCCTGGCTTTTTACAAACTCTTCCTTTTGACAAGGTTGGCATGTTGGTTATTGGAATAGAAAAAACGTCAATTGTTGCGAAATCGGTAAGTATACCGTTCGTTCAAGTAATAAAAGTGATAAGTAAAGATTGTTCCCTCGAGGATTAATACACCAAGTATTAATTTAACTATTCCCCTTAATTAAGTTGGAAAAGAAAATTGATTTGATTGTAAAATTGATTGATTGTTGTAATTTAAAAACAGAATTTAAAAACAATAATATTAAAACGCATTCAAGAAAAGATCAAGAACGTCAAGAAAATATGAGATTGATTGAAATTTGTAAAAAGACTGTAGTCAGGATACATTTCACCTCCGATCCTCCCTTATATTCCTAAATTGTATTTTATAACTAAGTAATTTAGTAACTCAGACAATTCATTATTTTCCTATTAAATAGTTGAACACTAATATCTTAGTGATTTCAACCCTTTAACTCAATTAGAATCCTAGTGTCTTAGTAATTCCTCTTGAATCAAGCATTAAGCAAATGAATTATAAGTCTGCAATCTATGTAAGCTTATGTCTAAGTCATGCACAAATTGTTATTCTACCCTTGTCCAGATTAAAATCCTAATATGTCTATTGCGAGTCCTAACCCTCAAAGTCTTATAATTAGAGTGACCACTTCTAATCAGTATATGGAAAAATTAATACATGCAGAATAAAGCTACATAAACTACATTAATTATAAAAACAATTCAGAAAATATAAAAGATTCACTTCGGGTCGTGATCCCAACTACAAAAAGAAATTAGCCAGACATATTTATGTTTGACTTAAACAAATTAAAGGAATAAAAATTGTTCATAAACGAAAAAGAAAAGAAGAAGAAGATAGAAGATCAATGGTTTTCGTTCTTCAACTCCGGTGGAATCCTGATCTCCAGTGCGAGTCTTCAAGAATTTTCTCAATTCTCTAATCCTCACAATTCTCTCCAGCCAAAAGATGTCTGTCTTCTGGGGTCTGAGTCTCTATTTATAGAGTTTATGCCCTTGTTTAGAAATCTTGATCGAATTTTCAACGTATATCTTGGTCCAATCTTTCTGATACAGTCTGAGATAAGTTTAAAGATTAACCCGTACCTCTCACGCTACTAGCGTGGTTCCCGCGCTGTGAGCGTAGGAGTTTTGTTCAAAGTACTGCAGGTTCACGCTACTAGCGTGGTTCCCACGCTGATAGCGTGGTTGTTATAAATGGTTGGCGCTGCTAGCGCAGATTCCACGCTAGAAGCGTGGTGACTCTGGATGGAAAGTTGCTTTTGGCGCTGTCAGCACCACACCCACGCTAGTAGCGTGAGGCTTCAGTTTTGTGCTTCCAAATTGAGCTTCTTTTTGTCCTATTTTCCTACAAAATCGAAAGAAAATCAGTTACAAGATCTTTGATTGAGATTTATCCATTTAATAGCAATTACAACTCTTTTTATTCAAGATTGATCAAGATTCTTTCTCTTTTTGACTTAAATTCATATATATGCTGGAGAAATATCATCAATATAAAAGCAGGACAACATAAGACATAAGACAGGGTGAGATGTTTTGCTCACAAACTTATTTCGGGGTTCAAAAGTACAAGTGCTTCATTTCGTTCAATAAAAAAATCATTAGAAAGAAGGAAACTTTAGGAGTGGCAGGGTGAATAAACATGCAGAAGACCCATATAGCACAGACGTAGGGACAACATGCATATGCAAATTGAACAATTATAAAGAAACTAATAGGAAGGAAACATGGAAAACAAATGAAATCGAGAATGGTAAAAATAGGCACTTCCCCATTGATAAGCTGGAACCTGCTATTGTTTTCAGTAAGGCTAGCTACCAAACACGTGGTTGCAGCAGACAGACAACAAAAACATTACGTTCAGACAATTTTTTCATAATCCAAATGATTAATAGTTATTCCCTCGTTTTATTTCGCATTACTTTTGCAGTGAAAAATCCAAACGAGGCTGGTCTATTATCTGTTGCCGTATCAACCACGCTTCCATCACTTATCTACGGGATTTGTAAGAAGGTGCATTTTGTTGAAATCATAAAGTGCCAGTAGTAACGTTGATTAAAAATAATAATAATATTAATGCATTTTTACATATGTATATATATTGGTGATGTATTATTTATATGCTTATGATTCACTAATTTCAGAAATGAAATTTTTTATTAATATTAATTAAGATAAAAATGTTTCTGCTTTTGCTACAAAAAATATTTATCTGTCATACTCATATAAAAGTGAATGAATATCACTAACTTTTTCTCTATCTTTTATTCACAATGGGACCAACTCACTTTTATGTGAATGTAGGGAGTGGATCTTCTCATATTAAAAAACACATGAAATTGTCATGTGTGGAATCATAATCATATAAAGATGGATCAATGATAATAAAGAGAATTTTTTTTTACTAAAATAGATAGTTATAAAATTATTACTGTTGATTCATCTTTGTATGATTGTAATTTTTCACATTATCATGTTATTATTTTTTTAATATGAGAGGATCAATAGCTATGAGTGTGACATAAAAATATTTTCAAGAGTAAAAGTATATTAAACCCATTAATTAATGACGTGTTTTACTCTCTAAAATACAGCCATCTCTTTTGTTAGATATGCACCCTTATTAGTCCTCGAACAGTGAGCAATCACAACTTGACTGGATGGACACCATCCATAGTGATTTAAGGTTGTCATAAATGCATGTCCTTCATTTTGTATGCGGCTTCAACTTTTATCCACTTTCATAAAGGAATACAAAAACAATAATTACAAGAGAGACTTAAAAAGCATAGGTTTGGTGGCGATTCTTGCATATTTAAAAAAAAAAAAAAAAATCATTTTATATGTAAGTGATTAGTTAACTTGGACCAAACTCCTACACGTATCTGTATATAAAATTTTAGACCGATTTTATATACAAGTTAAAATTAATTAATATAAATTTTTATACTATAGAAAATGTCCTTTTGTGTGTGTCCTGTACTCGAATTGAACATTCAAATTCGACAATTTTGCAATGTCCCTTTCACTGCAAAGACAAACAAAACCAGTGAGACTCTTATGTTTGCATTAGTTTGTATGATTTGAAGTATCTTATCCGATCCTCTGAATGGCTTTTCCTATGTTCTCTCTCCCGTTTAGAGCCAAACATATTTATGTATATCCTACTCGACTTCTTTATTGTTTTGTTACTTGTACCCCCCACCAAGTTCGAGTTAAGCAAAAAAAGGTGTTTTTATTTCTGTTGCCTTCTATGCTTGGTTCAAAATAGACCATGCAAGAGGTAAGAATCGAAAAAGTTCAAAGCTGTCTAACCAACATGCACACTCTTTTCGTGAGACTCGTTTACATCAAACAAACCGTTAATAGGTGCACAAAGCCGAACCCACGAGAGAGCCTTATTGAAATGCTTTGCTTTGGTTCCAAGGTACTCGTTCCAAGTCACTGGTCGATAAACCGGAGGTTGACTTGGGCCTACAAGCTTTGCATGTGGCCCAATCTCCACATTGGCTGGGGGCCCATATAGATAAGCAACCGAAAACCGCTGACGGGTCCGGTTCACTAGAACCCGATGGAGCACACTTGGGTACAACCCGTTTGATAAAATGTGGAGGAGGTCGCCAACATTGATCACGAGCCCGCCGGGAAGTGGTGGCACCGTCACCCACCCGGATCCTTCCCGTTGAACCTGCAACCCACTGATGTTTTTTTGGTAAAGGATTGTGAGAAGGGTCGAGTCTGTGTGCGGGGCAAGACCCATGGCCCGATCCGGATCCGGACAGCTCGGGTAGGAGTTCAATTGCAAAGCAGCACAAGCCTTTTTGATTTGGTCATTTGAACCAGCCCATTTGATGTCATCCTTTGTAATACCGAGAGAATCTAACATGAGCCACATTAGCTTTCCCGCTAGGTTTTTCATGGTTTCATCGTATTGCACGACAATATCACTGAAAACAAAACAAAAAAACCCCCAAAAAACCCAAAAATTGAGGAGTGTTAGCAAAAATCATGCCACTATAGACTAATAGACAAAGAGATTTCGAACATCATAACAAACAAAAACAAGTGGATTCGTTGCAATAGATTCTCGACACTCTCCTAATCTTCAAGGTGGGTCCATAGCTCTCATTATGATCTTTGCTAAATGCATTAATTAGGATAAGAAAATGGTCTTATAATTATTTGGCCATTAGTCCTGTCACCACAAAAAATACCAAAAAAGTCCTTTTCTCTTAGCTAGAAATTAAATAAAGAAAAACAAAGATGAATGAAAGGAGAAGAGAGATGAAGGTAGCTAGTCTAGTTTATAATTTTAATATATATATATATATATATATATAGTTTTATAATATAGAGAACACGAACACGTGCATGAGGATGTGTTGATACCAGTATTTGCCGTAATCTTGGGGCCATAGCTGACGAAAATGTTCGAGAGGGGATCCAAGGATTGTGAAGCCCTCAGACCACATGAGTTTGGGGAAGAATGAGGAGATACGAGCGACGCCATAGCCAGAAACGCCGTCAGGGGAACGAGCTGCTTTAAGCTTTTGGTGAGAAGGAAGAGAGAAAAGGGTTTGGCCAGTTCCATGAATGTCATCAAGGAGGCTTATGGGGATGCCATGGTTTACAATTTGAAAGACACCCCAAGTTTTGCATGCATGGCCTATCAGCTTTGAAGCATTTGGGTCATTGAGATCAATAACAGGGACAGTTTCCTTGATGCTATAATTGGAAGGGTAAGCATGATCGTCAAGGTGTGTCCAAGTGTAAGATTCAGGGAGTTCTTGTAGGGAGTCGAAGTCGGGGTGCTTGTGGTAAACGGGAACGGGGTGGGCTCTGTATGCTTCTGAGAGTGAAGGCATAGTGTCAAAGAAAAAAAAGAAAAGAATGAGCAAGCAATATTAGAGAGAGTGTGTTGAATAATTAGGAAGAGGGAGTAGCTATTGGTGGTGGTACTTGCAAGAAAATATAGTACCCAAAAGAAAGATAAAGATGAGGTGAGAAACATGATTGTGCCTAGTGAGTATATATAGAGATGATGGGGTAGATCGCGACAATGTTGCCATTGCCCCAAACCGAAAGAAAGATAGATAGAGAGAGAAAGCGGTGTTTTTGTTCATTTCTTATATTTTTTTTTCTCTCAGGGGTGTGTGTTTGGGAGTTTGGAAGAAAAGAGAAAAAAGGGAATCCAAAACAAAAAGTGATAACTGTCACTTGAATCCAAAATTCAAAATCTTAAAGTACTAGTAAGACGTAATTAATTATTTTGTATCTCTCTAATACATCCTATGAACTTGAAGCGTCAATCCAAAAACTTAAACAGGTGAATGACTATCTTTTTAATGATTTATATTATTTTCTATTAAAAAAGAAGGGAAAGAAAATGATGGATATTCTTTTTCCCTTATTTGGATATTAAAAATCTCTCTCGTATCCTTAAATTGGGGTAATTTTAATTTTAAAGGTGAGAAATTTTTTGGAGAGTTTTATAAAAAAAATTTAATTCTCTCTCCATATTTTTTTAAAGAAAATTATACTCTTATGTTACATAAAATTTATCGCTTATGTTACACTCACATAAAAAGATGTGCCTCACTTTTTTTTCTTTTTTCTTTTTTTAAAAATTGATGAACCTCACTTAATTTATCTCACAACATAAGATAACTCCTCTCCTACAACATGAGAAAAGTAAATCTCATTTTTTTAACTCACAAATAATAAAAAAAACATGGGAAAGGTCGTCTAAGTAAAATTTTCCCTTCCCATTTTAACAGTGACTCTCAAACACAACCTTCAGGTGTTGATTGCTGTAGAAGCGAAAGTTTTGAAGGAAAGAAATTATTCTTGATTCCTTTGTTTCCTTTTTGCATTTAAGTGATTGCATGTTACAATATGTTAAAGATATTTGTCAACATTATTTCCAAATATATATATAAGGGTTTGTATTTGTTATTTAACATGACACAACAAATTTTTCTATACACACAACATGTCGTGGGACCCACACTTTTTGAAGAAAAAAGAAAAGAAAAAAATTACGGCACGTAAAACGAATCTCTATAACATTACACAATCACTTTTCCTACAACATAACTCTTATAAAACCCATATATATATATATATTAAAATTATTTGATAATATTTGAATCGTATCTTATAATAATCTAAAGAATCTTAAACGATATTTTAGAAATAATTTACTGGGAAAGGTTATATTGATAAACTTTTTTTATTACAAACTTACAAATTACACTGAGTCTGACTGGTTATACACTTTTGATAGATATATGACCAGTCAGACTCAGTGTAATTTGTATGTTTGTAAGAAAAAAAGTTTATCAATATTACCCCTCCATTATTTCTTTATATATATATATATATATATATATATATATATATATATATATATTATAATTTAATTATTCATTTAATTAAGTTTTGGATTTTAAAATTAATATAAACAAGAATTAATGATTTGTGGCTTTGTATGATATCAAATCACATCATAACGCATGAATCAGTATTTTTTTTTTTTTTTAGTACGTAGGCGAATCAGTATTAATTTTGTATTATTGAGTTTTTATTCTCTATTTTTTTTATTTATTAATTACCTAATAAATTTATATTATTTCAACTGATCTTACATATATATCCTAAATATATGAATATTAAATTACTTGTACGAATAAATCAAGAATGTTATAGAATTAATAATATAAAAAAAAAACAGTGCAAATAGAATTTTATTTTTTATTTTTTTTAAAAAAAAAAAGTGTTTAGAAATTGGACAAGGGAAAGAACAAAAAAGGAAAGGACCATCTTGTCCTCTACATAAAATGAGGAAAGCAAAGGCATCTCAACCTCTCAATTCACAACTCCAAGGATTCGACGAAAGAGTAGGGCCCCTAGCTCAACATGTGCCTTTGTCTTGTCCTCAAGTAGAAAAACATTTAAATCAAACTCTTCCAACTTGGTTCTGATTTATCTCATTCGCTATACGACAATAGTCACAGTGCCCCCATTTTGGTTGGTTGCCATCTTGACCAAATTGCCCATCTCGAAATTATATTATCCAATATATACGCACCGTATTGTTATAATTCCTTGGACAATAATTTACTTACGGTTTCGATTTGACATATTAGACCATTCATTACAGTCCTATAACTTTTTTGTACTCAATGGATGTTTGTGTAGAATTATGCTTTCAAAAGTTAAAAGCTTTGTACGAAGAAGACAATAATAACACATAATTGAGCAACATACTTATATACACAAAATGGTAATTTAGCCCTTAACAATTATAAAAAAAATGAAAATACTAACAATAATATTAAAAATAAATACAACAAAAGTAGAAATGAGTGGACTGGCTGGTTGTTCTTCCCTGTGCCTTACACTTGTATTTGTATGTATGATCATTTTCATGAAAAACCAGTAAAGTTTCTTTTGGTATTTTGCGGATAGGAGGAGTGTTTTCCCTGTCCCATGTGCCTCAAGTGGCCTTATTGATATTCAGCAACGTAACTCGTTTGATAAAACTACAACAAATATGTGGTTTGTCCCCATAATATAACCAAAGCAATTTCTCTTTTCTTTTCTTTTTCTTTTTCTTTTTTCGATTTGAAAAACCTAAGTCCCTCACCCCCTTCTTTTTTTAATAAGTACCTTTTTTCGAAGGAGTTATGTTCATCTAATTTTCTGTTTTGTACTTTTTTTTTCTTTGGTTCCCCAATATATCATGCATTGCGCGCCACCTATATATAATGCATATATATATATGATGCCATTGATGAATTAATGACATAGGATGAACAGTGATGGCCCTCTTCTTGTAATTGCTCACCACATGACTAGCATTCATGGGACATGGGCTCGTGTATGTTCACATTTAACATCACACATAACATTCATTATAATTCTCCTTCTACGTGCACATGCAGTTCACGTGGTTCAAACATGGTGAGGTCGGGACCGTTTGGGTCGCTAATGAACCCACTGTTTTTATAGTTTATATTATACATGCATGGCCACTCAACTCAAAAAATAAATAAAATAATAATTAAAACATACAATTTTATGCACCGAAAAAAGCATAAACTAGATATATCTATCTACTCAATCTTGTAGTTTTATGAATCCAAGGTTATGCGACATGATTAAGAATATATCCAGGAATCTAACTCTTTTAATTAATTAATGTACGTATGCATGTGAATTAATTAAGATGATGACGGGTGAACTTAAAGTTTTCAAAATATAAAAATAAAAAGGCCGGCATGCTACAGAGTGAAATGTGCATAAGAAAATTTTAATGTATATATATGGACGGCAAAATATTGAGAATTGAGATTTTTGTATTTTTTCTACTTTGTATCATATTTTTGTATTTTTTAAATTAAATAATAAAAAATTAATAAACAAGAGAGAAGTTTTAGAGAAATAAGAGGGATTTTTTTTTCTAAATTTTTAATGTTCAATTAATTAAAGAGTTTGAAAAGATTCATGCAACTGAACAAAGTATTGAATCCAAAATATGGCGGTTTCGTGCATGTGAGATAACTTCTTTAGTAAGATTATAAAGGGTTCGCTTTTTCTGCAGCAGATAAGTTATCTGCAGTAAGTCCAATACGACGTCGTTTTGGGACGGAAATCATGGTGTATTTGTAATTTTAATTTATTTCAGGGTTATAATAGTCTTTATATCTATAATTTTTTAAGATTTCAATATCAAAACGACGTCGTTTTGGTAATAAATGCAGATAACTTATCTGCATTAACTGAAACATTTTTCCCAATTATAAAATATCTAATCAGAATAGATAGGTTCAAAACAAAATAATACACTTCATTCTAATGATACAGGATAAAGAACATGCATGGTTGAACGTCTTCCTAATATGTCAAAGCAAAGTTTCTTATGGCGGCATACCAATCCTAATCGAAGGCTCTACTTCGGCCTCAAAGATTACCATATTACTAGGCATGCATCACAGGTTCAAATATTTGAAGACTTCTTAAAGATTTGAAAAAACAATTTAATCATTTAATAATATAAGAAATATTTGTCTTATCAAGTTTCGAACATAATTTATGGCATTCGAAATCAAGTAGGGGCAAAATGGTCAATCAATCTTATATATCTCATCAAAGTTTTTTCTTTCTTTCCTTTTTATTTCTTTTTCATTTTTAAATAAAAAAATAAAAAAGAAATCAGCGAATCCCTATTAGGATCTAGAGGAAAATGTTAACAGCACACAAGGAAATCAAACGCCCCACTCTACAGACATCTCTGATTTTTAAGATTAGGAAAGATATCAATCACCGAGGTTAAGGCTCAACGGAAAAGTTCAAATATAAAGGAAAGACAGATTTCAAAAGAAGCTAATGTTGACGTGAGTTGTGAATTAAGATTAAATTAGAGAAATTAAAAGATTGTTTGGGAGTTCAATTTATAATTATGGAAATGATATTAATTAGGCTATAATTGGGGAATGTAATTACGAGATGCTATGATATCGGGGGATTTAGTTAGGCTATAATTAGAATTCCTTAATATGGACACATGTTCATATAAATGCAAATTTGAATTTTGAAGAAATAAAGACATAATTTTTATCTAGATTTAACGGCAAAAACTTATGAGTATGGGTATTGGGTATACTAATTATTTATTCACAAACACAATTAAATATATAATAGTTAATTATCTTGCATGGACAATTAACAAGCAAGTGTCAAATTGTCTTAAACTATGTTAATTTCCTTCTATAGATAAAATAGGTTAGTTAGTATTTTTATATAGAATTTAAAATAAATTTATCCGCTTACCAAAAAAAAAAAATTATCCATTTAATTTAGA